TGATTTCTGCCACTTGAGGGAAGAAGGGAGCTATTACAAAGGAATATCTGTCAAGCCTTTGTAACTGATTGGATATAAGAAATAAGGGAGGTTTGAGCATGAAAAGGTTTCCAACCTTGGTGATTGTGTAAGTTATATTACTATAAAATCCAGTGGGCATGTCTGAATGAAATCCAGGTGTTGGGATTGGATGGCTAAGATAATGAGATCAGCATTGGCTTCATTGAGTTTGAAGATATATACGCAAACAGTACCAGACAGGTGGTTAGAAACTGTGGAATCAAGCCTTGTATCAAAAATGAAGGAAATTAGGGATTATGTAGATAATAGTTTTGTATCAGATAAACATTTCTAAGGGAGATGCAAATAGTAAGTGACAGCCCAGAACCCAGTATTTATTGGGGCAGAGGTTAGAAGAAATAAAAATGAATAACTCTAAGAGAGCTTTGAGGAAAACTGGCAAAGTAATACTACTTATATCAGGAGAAGATAAAATTTTTAAGATTATTTTAGCAGCTTTTTCTTCTTTCCACAGTGAGAATTAAGCTTTATACAACATAATTTGAACAACCTTTTGTTTGTTTGTTTGTTTTCCTAAGAATGGTGCACAGCTAGTATTCTTAAAGTATAGCCTAGAAGGCAATTCATTATGTAGAACAGGTACCTTAAGGCATTATTAGTACTTAATTCTTTTTGAACAGAATGCTAATAACTGTGTCAAAGTTTGAAATTCTACCTAATTGGTCAAAGAGAATGGCAAATAAAAATATTAAGCCTATCGGTTACATGGTAACATTAGAGTTTCAGTGGAGTGGTAGTAATAGAAATCAAATTAAGGGAATGTGATATTAAAAAAAGCTTTGGGAAAATTTAACAACAAATGCCCCACAGTAGAACAGTTGTTTTGCAATTGCTTACTTCTCTTGATGGGATATTTTATAGCTATTAAAATTATGGTTAAGAGAAGTGTTGCTGTGGGAGGAAAGAACCAAAAAATTGACGTATGCCATGATTATTACATCCATATAGAAACTAGAAAAAGAGAATTGGAAGAAGATGATAATAATTGCATTAGGGTATTGTAGTTGTGCATAATTTTTCCCTGTTTTCCCAATTTTTAGAAATACTGCTTTTGCAATAAGAATACAGACTTCCACTATATGTTGGGTAACTGAACATAATTAAAAAAAAAAAATAGACTTCCATTGCTGTAGATGATGGAATAGCAGGGACTGGATTTGCCCTCTCTCTAAGAACAAGAAACCAGGCAAATAAGAAACAGTTTTAAGAAACAGTTTTTTGTCACTGGACAATAGGCCGTGTAGGATTATGATCCCTGAAAGAAGGAAAATAAACAAGGTGAGTCCATATAACGTTCTGGCTTCCACCTTAGGCAGTTTTCAGGGTACAACTCAGTGACAAGGATTTGAAGCAGAGAACGATGGTATCAGAGAGTAAAAGAGACATTCTGGATTTCAGGGAGGACAGGTGATTAGAATTTGTGGAGCAGAATACTGGAAAGCAGAGAGCATCAGAAAGAGTGTGTGTGTTTTAGAGATCTACAGAGGGCCCCTTTAAAGTCTTTGGGTTAGTATTGATCTGTGTCCATGGGAGAAGAATCTTTTGAGGTTGGGGAAAGAACCACCGGAAAGCGTTAGATCTAACAATCCTGATGTTCACACAGAACTGGGAAAACCATGTTACCATGTTACCTCCATTCAGAGTACAGAGGGCTTTGATAGCATCTTTTTTTTTTTTTTTAAGATTTTATTTATTTGATGAGAGAGAGAGATCACAAGTAGGCAGAGAGAGGGGGAAGCAAGCCACCCGCCCAGCAGAGAGCCTGATGCAGTGCTCTATCCCAGGACCGTGAGATCATGACCTGAGCTGAAGGCAGAGGCTTAACTCACTGAGCCAGCCACCCAGGCGCCCCTTTTGATAGCATCTTAAGAGGAAGCAACAGCAAAACAACTAGACAGTGAAGGTTACAGAGAAGTTAACCAAAATATTGAGGTATATGAGAAAAGTAACTTTAGAAATCTAGTAAAGTCTACAACCAGATTGATTCCCTTCAGAAGAAACAGAAATGTAACTTTTTTTTTTTTTTTTTTAAGATTTATTTAGAGAACACATGTAGACAGAGCACCAGGCAGAGGGGGAAGGAGAAACAGGCTCTCTGCTGAGCAGGGAGCCCAACATGCTGGGCTGGATCCTAGGACCCTAGGATCATGACCTGAGCCAAAGGCAGCCACTTACCAGACTGAGCCACCCAGGCGCCCGCAGAAATATAACTTAAAATTGACTTTAAAATAATTTTTAAGTTCCTCAAAGATAAAAAAAAAGTTAGTGATGGTATAAGTTGTTCAAAACAACTCTCCCATGGGTGTGAAATAAAATACCACTGAAAGCTTCAAGGAAGTAAAAACAAGTGAGAAATATTAGTAGATCAAGTCTAGGAGAAGGTAAAAATAGAAATAAGCTTAGCACTGAAAGTTGCATTCAACCTGAGGACTTCTGATAATTTAGAAGAAACACCTGAGATGCTTAGGTGGGATTTTGAAAGTCTTAGGAAGCAAGAGACAGATTTCTAAGTGTAGTTCTGCTAAGATGGGGGATGTCTAATAACCCTTCTCTTATGCTATCCAGAGGCTTACATTTTTAGAATAGTAGGAAATTAGAAGTAAACCAGCCTTCTTATAGACTTACAGGTTTATAATGACCTGAGTGGTTTGATCTTAAAATCTGGAGGTCCTAGACTGGTTAGTGATTTCAGGAGTTTAGCAGAAGAAAATTCAGATCTTTTCTAGAGGAAAATTATCTTTATTCTATACCTCACAGTATTTCTACCTTAATTATTCAAACGCAGGCTTATAGTCTTCTTGAATACAAGTAAAGAAGAACCCACAAATAGCAGGCAGCACAAATAAGACAACAGAAACAGACATGCAAAGATATAGGATGTTGGAATTATCAGACACAGCCTATTAAATATTAAACAGCATCGTTTAACATTTGAAGAGTTAAGTCAATCTATAAAATTTCTGCAGAGAACAAGAAACTATAAAAAAATGGCATAGTAATTGGCCTTGAAGTAGAGAAGTAATTTTTAGTGTATAAAAGCAGTTAACCATAAAAGGGAAATTAAAAACTGGTAAATTTTAGTACAATTGAATTAAAAACTTCTCTTCATCAAAACACACTATAGGGCAAAAAGATAAACCCTAAACTGCTAGAGCATATTTTTACCATATGTAATAAAAAAAAAAAGGCTCTCCTTCCAAATCAGTAAGAAAAAACAATTGGCTTTAATAGGCATTTTGCAGAAGAAATTCCAAATAGCCTATAAACATGGAAGGACCTTTAACGTCATTCATAATATGAGAGATTAAAAAATACAGTCTTGACAGTACACCATTATATGCATATAAGATGGACAGACATTGAGAAGTCAGACAATACCAACTGTGGTGAGTGTCTGGACCAACAGGTGCTCTAAGATTGGTAGTAAATTCTTACTTTGGAAAGCTTTTTGGCATTATCTGGTAAAGTTGAAAATAAAAATAGTAGTAGCAATTCCACTACAAGAGACAAAGTAGAGAAATACCTGTACAAATATACTGAGATATACCAATGAGAATATTTCTTATAAAGTTGTTTATACTAAACAGGAAATAACACCAAAATCCAATGGTAAATAAACTGTACAGCAGTTAATAATCTATAGAACTGCATATAAATTTAAATGATTTAAAAATTAAAAGTGAAAAAACCTTGAATTCTAAAATAATAAAGTCTGCTTGTTCTCAAATAAATTAATCTCAGGAGCACAAAGTTGAATCAAAGAAAAACTATATAAAAATATATATAGTTTAGTACCATTCATGTAAAGTTCAGAAACAGGTAAAATATAATTGTTGTTTTACAAACTTTACATTTGTTGCTCGTAGACCTGTCACGAAAAGTAAGCAAAAATTTATTTCCAAAGTCACTATAATGATTTCATACTTGGGCTGGTAGTTGTTAAGATCAAGGAGAGACATGCTGAGCTACCTGGGAGGTACTGATGTTTTTTATTAAGATGTGTGGTGTTTACACAGATGTTTACTACAAAGTATTGATTACATGTGTTGTATGTACTTTTCCCTTTGTTATTTTACAATAATACATCTCATATAATACATTAGGAAAATATTAGTATCTCAAGTAAATTATGAAAAATATTTAGATATAAATCAAGAACAGATGGCTTTAAAAATCAGTTGGAAGCTTTGGAAGTGAATAAGTTATTGAGATAAAAACTCAATATACAGAATAACCCATAGGCTTGAGACAATTCATGAGGTGAGACTGAGGAATTTATGCAGAAAGAAACACATGAAATTTGCTGGAAAATGTGAAGAGATAGATAGGGTATATGGAAAGTAGATGAAAGGGTCTAAACATTAAGGTTACTTTCACTTGCTGAGGAGCTTTCTTATACTGGAAGAAGATAATGGGATACACATTCTAATACACATTTTAATAAACGTAGCTATTATTGACATTACATTTTAACTGTGTAGGTTCCATACTGGTAACTTAATTTATATTTTTTGTAAGTGTTTTGCTACAAAATGAAGCACTGTGTTTTAAAACTACATCTTTTCCCCTTTCAAAGTAATACTTAAAATCTTATAATGAAAATTACCCAATTTACAGGAATTTTTCATATACTAACTTCAGGGAGAGCTCATTGGTCCTTATAAAGAAAAATGGTATCTCTCCTAAGGAGAACCTTCTTTAAGGTTTTCAAGTCTTGCTGAGGTTCTTGTTTGTCTTAGCTCATGATCTTCTCCTCTTCCAAAGATCTAGCTGATGTTGGCCTTTCTTAAAAGCATGTTTAAAGCATAGATTTTATATGCATTTTCCCCTAAGTTTATGAACTATGGCTAGATATGTCTTGGAAAGATATAAATATATTCTTCATTGAAATGTGACTAATTTTTTTTTAATGTAAATAGTTGAACCCACTGTGAGCCTGATAAAAGGGCCAGATTCTTTAATTGATGGAGGAAATGAAACTGTAGCGGCCATCTGTATCGCAGCCACTGGAAAACCAGTTGCACATATTGACTGGGAAGGTGATCTTGGTGAAATGGAATCCACTACAACTTCTTTTCCAAATGAAACGGCAACAATTGTCAGCCAGTACAAGCTGTTTCCAACCAGATTTGCTAGAGGAAGGCGGATTACCTGTGTTGTAAAACATCCAGCCTTGGAAAAGGACATCCGATATTCTTTCATATTAGATATACAGTGTAAGTAAACAATAACATTTGCTCTTAAATATTTTATTTTAATTTTCTTCTGTGACATAATTCTATGGCAGACTTGTTTGAATATTTAATATTCAGATATTCTTACATCTTTTCCTTGTTGAACTTTTTTTCCTTAATTTTTAAAAATACCTTCGTAGAAATTTCATTTAATCAGAACATTTCTTATTAGTTTGTGAAGATGGACAGTGACTTTAAAGTTGCTCTCCAACTTAAAATTATTTAGCCTTCTCCTTTTCAGACCTTAAAAATAAGCTGGGCTTAAGCAAATTGTGGAAATTTATACCTCAAAATGTGCAATACTTAGAGGCAAACAACTACTTTGCCAGTTCAATTAATTTCACTATTACTCATTTTTTTTATGCTACCCATGATGTTTTCAGCAAGAATCTTTTATTGTCTAAATGTGTATTAATTAGTTTGAAAATCTTTGTTTTTCCGATACTTTTTCTCATCGCATTTTACCGATCATGTTGTAAGATTCTCATATAGTAAGACAGTATTTTAAAGACATCATTGGGATAATAACCATTGTAGATAAGGTTCCAAGGTTAGCCCATCACCTATTTTTATTTTTTTGTTAAGGGATGTTCCCTTTTGTGTAAAGTTTGTATGTTTATATACGTATGTGTGTATATTTTTTTCCTGTACATTAGCTCAGTTGTTGAAACATTCTTTGTCTGACATTTAAAAATTTTGAGCAGAAGAAAAAGTGATAATGCACGTAACTTAAAACAAGGATAATGAAAATAGGTTTTTAAAAAGAAGTATTACAGTGTTAGTGTTTTATTTTTTGATATGACATATATGGAATTGCAAATTGCACATATTCATTACATTTGATGTAATGGTTTTTAAAGCTAATTGTAAGAATCTTTTTCAACATTTATTGGGTTAAACTTGGGACGTTACCTTACATGAATGTTACTACCATTTTATTCCTAAGTACAGATACCTTCTTTTCACTACTCTGGAGAATCCAATTAAAATTTCTGTTTCCTTTTCCTACCTTACTTTCATAGACTCTTAACTTTTTCCTTTTTCTTGTAAAATTCAGATCCCAATTGTAAGTACTATTAATATTTTCCTTATATATATTTTGTCCTTCCTTATATCTAGTAATGACTGAAATTTTCTTCAATTTGTATTGGGTACATTATGCTTTTTTGATTGTTTGTTTGAATGCAATCCTAAATATAAAAATATTTCTCTTAATGTAAGATTTATATAATTCTGGCTTAGATTTATTGGCTTGCTCCTAAAATGTTCTTAGAGTACTCATGATTTTTTTTCCTCTTTTTAATTGGGACTTACAAAACATGTGAACAAAGTTTGAGGAGATAAAATTTTATATCCAAAGTTCAGATCTCTATATTTGGAGGTATTATTTGGGGATACCTTACCTTAGTACCTATTCCCTCCTCCCAATTAAAAGAAATTAATCTCACAGAGCTCTCTATTCTTTCAACAACAATTTTTAGTACCAATTGTTAGTTACAAAGGTGTTAATTCTTGGTATTTAAGAGGCAGGCATTTCTTTCTTTAAATTACTAAAGTAATTAATTGTACCTTAGTAAAAGTTTAATTTTTTACCACCCTTTTTTGTAAACCTTGATTGATAATAGACCAAGCTTCCTTGACAGAATTAAACTGACCTGGTCTCTCTCTAATTTCCCATCTGGTCATGTACTCTTTATCTAGTTTACTATGTAACTCACAGGAGGGTCTCTGTACCATGCATAAGTGACACTTCCTTGGGGAAGCTTTCATGACCCCACCTCATCCGCAGTTAGCCCCTTCTTCTCTATATCATCCTATTCTTTTCCTTCTTGGTTCTCAACAGGTTTTAGTTTAATATTTCAAAAATATCCTCTTATTAAAAACTATTAAAAATAAATTTTATGAAAGAAAAAATTTAAAAGAAAAGGGGCGCCTGCGTAGCTCAGTGGGTTAAAGCCTCTGCCTTCGGCTCGGGTCATGATCCCAGGGTCCTGGGATCGAGCTCTCTACTCGGCGGGGAGCCTGCTTCCTCCTCCTCTCTCTCTTTCTCTCTGCATGCCCCTCTGCCTACTTGTGATCTCTGTCTGTCAAGTTAAAAAAAAATAATAATTAAAAAAATAAATAAATTTATGAATACAGAATCTATATGTATGCCATAAGCCTACAACAGTGCCTGCCACTTATTAGGAGTTAAAAAACAATATGATGGTTGAATGAATGATTCATATTGGATTGTATGGCTTAAATGCATAAATTTATATTGGTGGTAGATATGGATAATTGCTTATTTAACAAACTATATTACACAATATTACACATATACCAAAAGACGTTTGGGTGCATTGAATGGATAAAATTGAATGTTTTAGAACAGTTGAGGCCACAGATAACTTACTTTAGTTGATATTATATAGCCTTAGAAAGTTTGTTTTACATTTCTGCTTACCCATAGAATATTAATTGATTATAATACAGGGAACCTAATCTCTGTAGTTGACTTTGTATCTCTTGGGGGATATTCTCTTTCAGATTAGACATTTCTTTAAAGACAGTGTTATATGGTGACTTGGTACTTAAATGCCACGTCTAATCAAATTAAGTAGTATAATGTATTTCCTTTGTTCATAAATCTATACTTCTCATAATAGGACTCTCATATTTTGTTCTTGGTGATTATATGTTTGTGAATATCCTTATATTCAGTGTCCAAAATAACTAGAACCGTACATGCTATCGTTGCCTAGTGTTTGGGTACTCATTTTCCATTCATGCACTCATTCTTTCAATCAACTAATAATTATTAACTGCTGTTTTCCACGCTGGTTTTGTATATTGACAGAAGGAAAGCGATTTCTGTTCCTTTGAAGTTTAGTCATTATGTTAATGCTTTGTCATTATTTATTGCATTTACCACTAACAAAAGATAATTTGTACTGTTATGCATTTATTTTATAGATGCTCCAGAAGTTTCAGTGACAGGCTATGATGGGAATTGGTTTGTAGGAAGAAAAGGTGTTAATCTCAAGTGTAATGCTGATGCAAATCCACCACCCTTCAAATCTGTGTGGAGCAGGTAATAATGTCAGATACTTCTAAAGGGAAATTATTTAAAAGTGGAAAGAATTAAGTGCATATTTAAAGTTGTTTTTTTTTTTTTTAAAGATGTTATTTATTTATTTGACAGAGAGAGATCACAAGTAGACGGAGAGGCAGGCAGAGAGAGAGAGGGAAGCAGGCTTCCTGTCGAGCAGAGAGCCCAATGTGGGACTCGATCCCAGGACCCCGAGATCACGACCTGAGCCGAAGGCAGTGGCTTAACCCACTGAGCCACCCAGGCGCCCCTAAAGTTGTTTTTTTTTTTTAAATCAGTGTAATACATGATGATAGTAATGGCTGGAAATTAAATTAATGGTTTCTGAGTGTTCTCTGTCCCACCTCTCCCCTACCTTCTACCCCTGCAGTTCCTTTTAGCCATTTAGCAATTCCTTCTGGTGGTTACCATTGTTGGTCTTAAATTGCTACTTCTTAATACAATCTATTGACTTCTATTGTGATGGATGAAAATTTAACTTTATGTCTACCCCTTCACACACAAAGGTATCCATATACATATTCCTACCTTCATGAATCCCAATGAAATTAAGCCACTTTTAGTTAAACTTCGTAATCATTGTTTACTTCCCTGTGACATGTAAGTATTATTTACTGACAGTAGTATACTAGAGTTCTGTTTTCTTTTGTCTAAGATCTTTGTTTTCCCTGAAGCTAATAATTCTTAGACTCAAAAAATATCCTTAATTCTTTTTATCTGTGAATTTTCAAAGTGTTATACTAAGGTTTTCATTTGTATTTCCCAGTATTTGGAGCTCCCCTTTAGTCTTAAGACTTGTATCTGTCACCTGTGTATAATTTTGTCATTTTTTTTTAATCATTTCCCCTCCTTTTTTAAGTTTGCTTTTACTAGACTTCCTATTATATACGAAACATCCTTTCTTATTTTTCAAAGTTTTTTGTTTTGTTTTGTTTTTCCTAGGAAATTTCCTTGATTATTTTTTCCCTGTTGACTTAATTGATTTAAAACATTTTGGGGGCATATTTTTAATTTATTTTTTTTCTTAAAATTTATTTATTTGAGGGATGGGGGAAAAGAGAGGAGGGGGCAGAAGGAGAGAGAGAGAGAGAGAAGTCCTGGCAGGGATGGCCTGAGCCAAAATTAAGAGTTGGCAACTTAACTAATTGAGCCACCCAGGTGCCTCTATACTTTTAATTTCTAAGAGCATTTTCTTATTTCTCTTTCATTTCACTGCATTTTTTCTTATTTTGTGGATGTAATGTCTTGTTTCTTCCTAGAAACACAATTTTTTTAAAAGATTTTACCTACTTATTTGACAGACGGAGATCACAAGTAGGCAGAGAGGCAGGCAGAGAGAGAGGAGGAAGCAGGCTCCCCGCTGAGCAGAGAGCCTGATGTGGGGCTCGATTCCAGGACTCTGGGATCATGATCTGAGCCAAAGGCAGAGGCTTTAACCCACTGAGCCACCCAGGCACCCCTAGAAACACAATATTAAAGTTATTTCCTCTTCAGAGAGTTTTTTTTTTTTTTTAATTTTATTTTTTTATAAACATATATTTTTATCCCCAGGGGTACAGGTCTGTGAATCACCAGGTTTACACACTTCACAGCACTCACCATAGCACATACCCTCCCCAATGTCCATAACCCCACCCCCCCTCCCAACCCCCCTCCCCCCATCAACCCTCAGTTTGTTTTGTGAGATTAAGAGTCACTTATGGTTTGTCTCCCTCCCAATCCCATCTTGTTTCATTTACTCTTCTCCTACCCCCTTAACCCCCCGTGTTGCATCTCCTCTCCCTCATATCAGGGAGATCGTATGATAGTTGTCTTTCTCCGATTGACTTATTTCGCTAAGCATGATACCCTCTAGTTCCATCCACGTCGTCGCAAATGGCAAGATTTCATTTCTTTTGATGGCTGCATAGTATTCCATTGTGTATATATACCACATCTTCTTTATCCATTCGTCTGTTGATGGACATCTAGGTTCTTTCCATAGTTTGGCTATTGTAGACATTGCTGCTATAAACATTCGGGTGCACGTGCCCCTTCGGATCACTACATTTGTATCTTTAGGGTAAATACCCAGTAGTGCAATTGCTGGGTCATAGGGTAGTTCTATTTTCAACATTTTGAGGAACCTCCATGCTGTTTTCCAGAGTGGTTGCACCAGCTTGCATTCCCACCAACAGTGTAGGAGGGTTCCCCTTTCTCCGCATCCTCGCCAGCATCTGTCATTTCCTGACTTGTTAATTTTAGCCATTCTGACTGGTGTGAGGTGATATCTCATTGTGGGCTTGATTTGTATTTCCCTGATGCCGAGTGATATGGAGCACTTTTTCATGTGTCTGTTGGCCATCTGGATGTCTTCTTTGCAGAAATGTCTGTTCATGTCCTCTGCCCATTTCTTGATTGGATTATTTGTTCTTTGGGTGTTGAGTTTGCTAAGTTCTTTATAGATTTTGGACACTAGCCCTTTATCTGATATGTCGTCTGCAAATATCTTCTCCCATTCTGTCAGTTGTCTTTTGGTTTTGTTAACTGTTTCCTTTGCTGTGCAAAAGCTTTTGATCTTGATGAAATCCCAATAGTTCATTTTTGCCCTCGCTTCCCTTGCCTTTGGCGATGTTCCTAGGAAGATGTTGCTGCGGCTGAGGTTGAAGAGGTTGCTGCCTGTGTTCTCCTCCAGGATTTTGATGGATTCCTTTCTCACATTGAGATCCTTCATCCATTTTGAGTCTATTTTCGTGTGTGGTGTAAGGAAATGATCCAATTTCATTTTTCTGCATGTGGCTGTCCAATTTTCCCAACACCATTTATTGAAGAGGCTGTCTTTTTTCCATTGGACATTCTTTCCTGCTTTATCGAAGATGAGTTGACCATAGAGTTGAGGGTTTATTTCTGGGCTCTCTATTCTGTTCCATTGATCTATGTGTCTGTTTTTGTGCCAGTACCATGCTGTCTTGATGATGACAGCTTTGTAATAGAGCTTGAAGTCCGGAATTGTGATGCCACCAACTTTGGCTTTCTTTTTCAATATTCCTTTGGCTATTCGAGGTCTTTTCTGGTTCCATATAAATTTTAGGATTATTTGTTCCATTTCTTTGAAAAAAATGGATGGTACTTTGATAGGAATTGCATTAAATGTGTAGATTGCTTTAGGTAGCATAGACATTTTCACAATATTTATTCTTCCAATCCAGGAGCGTGGAACATTTTTCCATTTCTTTGTGTCTTCCTCAGTTTCTTTCATGAGTACTTTATAGTTTTCTGTGTATAGATTCTTAGTCTCTTTGGTTAGGTTTATTCCTAGGTATCTTATAGTTTTGGGTGCAATTGTAAATGGGATTGACTCCTTAATTTCTCTTTCTTCTGTCTTGTTGTTGGTGTAGAGAAATGCAACTGATTTCTGTGCATTGATTTTATATCCTGACACTTTACTGAATTCCTGTACAAGTTCTAGCAGTTTTAGTGTGGAGTCTTTTGGGTTTTCCACATATAGTATCATATCATCTGCAAAGAGTGATAGTTTGACTTCTTCTTTGCCGATTTGGATGCCTTTAATTTCCTTTTGTTGTCTGATTGCTGAGGCTAGGACTTCTAGTACTATGTTGAATAGCAGTGGTGATAACGGACATCCCTGCCGTGTTCCCGACCTTAGCGGAAAAGCTTTCAGTTTTTCTCCATTGAGAATGATATTTGCGGTGGGTTTTTCATAGATGGCTTTGATAATATTGAGGTATGTGCCCTCTATCCCTACACTTTGAAGAGTTTTGATCAGGAAGGGATGCTGTACTTTGTCAAATGCTTTTTCAGCATCTATGGAGAGTATCATATGGTTCTTGGTCTTTCTTTTATTAATGTGTTGTATCACATTGATTGATTTGCGGATGTTGAACCAACCTTGCAGCCCTGGAATAAATCCCACTTGGTCGTGGTGAATAATCCTTTTAATGTACTGTTGAATCCTATTGGCTAGTATTTTGGCGAGAATTTTTGCATCTGTGTTCATCAAGGATATTGGCCTGTAGTTCTCTTTTTTGATGGGATCCTTGTCTGGTTTTGGGATCAAGGTGATGCTGGCCTCATAAAATGAGTTTGGAAGTTTTCCTTCCATTTCTATTTTTTGGAACAGTTTCAGGAGAATAGGAATTAGTTCTTCTTTAAATGTTTGGTAGAATTCCCCCGGGAAGCCATCTGGCCCTGGGCTTTTGTTTGTTTGGAGATTTTTGATGACTGTTTCAATCTCCTTACTGGTTATGGGTCTGTTCAGGCTTTCTATTTCTTCCTGGTTCAGTTGTGGTAGTTTATATGTCTCTAGGAATGCATCCATTTCTTCCAGATTGTCAAATTTGTTGGCGTAGAGTTGCTCATAGTATGTTCTTATAATTGTCTGTATTTCTTTGGTGTTCGTTGTGATCTCTCCTCTTTCATTCATGATTTTATTTATTTGAGTCCTTTCTCTTTTCTTTTTGATAAGTCTGGCCAGGGGTTTATCGATCTTATTAATTCTTTCAAAGAACCAGCTCCTAGTTTCGTTGATTTGTTCTATTGTTTTTTTGGTTTCTATTTCATTGATTTCTGCTCTGATCTTTATGATTTCTCTTCTCCTGCTGGGTTTAGGGTTTCTTTCTTGTTCTTTCTCCAGCTCCTTTAGGTGTAGTGTTAGGTTGTGTACCTGAGACCTTTCTTGTTTCTTGAGAAAGGCTTGTACTGCTATATATTTTCCTCTCAGGACTGCCTTTGTTGTGTCCCACAGATTCTGAACCGTTGTGTTTTCATTATCATTTGTTTCCATGAATTTTTTCAATTCTTCTTTAATTTCCTGGTTGACCCATTCATTCTTTAGAAGGATGCTGTTTAGTCTCCATGTATTTGGGTTCTTTCCAAATTTCCTCTTGTGATTGAGTTCTAGCTTCAGAGCATTGTGGTCTGAAAATATGCAGGGAATGATTCCAATCTTTTGATAACGGTTGAGACCTGATTTAGGACCAAGA